TTTTCCGACCATAAACTCAAAAAAAAACTACAGGAGAAATTTTTTTTTCAGTTTTTTTTGTAGTTTCTTCTGCGTGGTGTGATAAAATGAACTGACGTAAAACTACAATTTAGGCATAATCGACAGTCATACTAATATACGCAAACAGGACAACAGATTTTGAAGAAAAATGACAAAAAAAAACAAAAAAAACGCAAAAACTTTCATCAAAACTTTTATTTATGTTCTTAATCGCCCTTTTTTGGAAAGGTAGAAAATTGTAGGCTAAAAAATCAAGACAAAGAATTTCTTTCGATCATTAAAAATGGATGCGTTTGAAAGACAAGTGTGTTGTCACACTTGACCTTCACGGGCGTTATTTGAGGTAGCCAAAATGAGTAGCAAAAAAATCTACGCCATAGCTCCCTCTAACCTTCTCACAAAAACAACAAATGTATACCTTGATCTATACTGGTTGCCGAAAATAGATGATCAGAAGAGGTTTTGCAGAATTCCTATTTCTTAATGACATCGAGACATCTAGAAAGCACTTAAACTAGAAAAATCGGGGTTATAGAGTGTAAAAGTCATGTTGACTTCTATGATTGTATAAATTTCATAGAGATTTTCTTGCCTTGGTTAGGTTTCAAATTCAACCAAGCAGATCCGTTCAACCAAAAAATCCGGCTTTCATTGTTAAAACTTTATAAGGCTGCTTTTCGTGTTTTTTTTTCTTACTAATTTACACAAAACGAAATCATGTCCTTTCACTGGGGTTGGGATCACCATAGTGGTCATCACGGTGGCCATCACGGGGGTCACCACAGTTCCTATGGCCATCATGGACATCATGGACACCATGGAGCCACCAGACGATACGACAGATCCCCATCGCCAAGGGGAAGGAGAGGAAACAGAGGTGCCGGTCGACGAGGAAGGGGCCGAAGGCGATAAACGAATCTCCTATTCCGACGACTTCAACTGCATGTTAATAAAAAAATAAACTTTAAATACTTTAACTATTTTAGCGACTAACCTTGTAATCAGTTGGAGTTCAAAGCGGTGCTGAAAACTTAAGTTTGTGCCACTTTTGGGCTTGTTTTTAATCTGCGGTGGTACAGTATAGTTGTCATGTTCTATTAATTTAGTGAAAAATGTTTTGCAACTAAGACTTGTTCATGTCAAATTTTATTTGTTCATACTATGGTAACGCTTCATTTTACAACTACGCAATTTAACTTTAGATCCTTAAGTTCTTAACCATATGAGACAAAGCCAAAAAACATGATATTCTAGCGTTTTTACCCCCATTTTATTGAAAGGGGCTTACAGGTGACGTGACATTAAAATGCGGGGTTCAAGCTACTCGAACAATTATTCTGAAGTTTATGAGGATAACAATCCACCAACATGGATTCCAAACAAACCACGAACAGAACATTCACCTCAAGATGCTGTGAGATTGAAGTCTCCAGAGGAAATGCATTGGAAAAATCCTGAAAGAAGAAGAATTCCTTCTAGGATGAGACAAAGCTCCAGACATGGTTCTAGTCGAGCCTCAAGTGTATATGAGGACCCTTTTAACTCTAAAGATGTTGAGTATCGCGAACAAGGTGTTTATGCAAACACCCGAGAGTTTAGAAGAGATCAGAAGCGTCAGGAACGAATGGAAAGGCATCGGAGGTTCCGTAAATCGGGGAACTACCAGCAAGTCGACGCAGATCAAGGACCAAGGCGCAGTCCAAGTAAAAGCTCCCAAGGATCCGGGGATTCAAGATGTTGCCGATCTCCCACGTGTCGGGCATCACAGGTTCGCAGTCCCGAAGTCCAGATCCGAGGTTCATGGCAATCAGCACCCTCAGCCAACAACTACCAGGCAGTTTCGAGGCATCGCGAGTTCTCGGCGAACCGAACTTCAATTGAGCATGACGAATTTCGATCACAAACTGACGAGTCAACGAGTACTTCCAGTTGCAGCTGCGATGAGTGCTCAATGACTTTAGGTGATAAAAAATGTCACAATGGTCCCATAAGACACTCGCAAAATTTCTCCAACATGAGTCCAAGAAAAGTCCACTTCAATGACAATCAGCATGACTCCCAGTACCAGCAACCGGGTCAATTTTTCAACAGAGGACAGGACCCATTTCAGCAAAACCAAGACTTTGATCAAATGTCTAGGACCAACAGTCAAGGTGCTGCAAACAACTATCAACCGAATGTTCGAAATAACGGCAGATCTTTAAGTAGGAGCCCAAGAAACAATTTTCAAGGAAGAGTTGGCGAGCAGCAAAATGCACCGAATGATCAGTGTGACCCGAATTGCAGTAATCGGGAAAGTCAAGGGTTCTGGAACTCCAAAATGAATTCTGATCAAAAAATGATCCCAGCTATGACCAATCGATCAAACACTCCTCAACAGGTAAATGAAAACCAAGAAACACATTTTGCTGATGGTCAGAACCAACAAGGAAATGTAAATTCTAATAACGGAGAAACAGTAAGTGCTTTTGCCAAAGGAACCAGACCCCCGTGTTTATGCCCACCTGGATGTCGGAGACAACCAATTTCGCCTTTCTTTTCACCCTGGCTAAATCGGACAATTCCGTCTCCTTTTTGCATGAGTACAACTCCGAGACATCATTTCGGACCGTATTCGGACCACTTGATCTATGAGAACGTTCGACGCGGTAGTTTAAGCGATCGAAGTAGCCCAATTTGCAGAGCATATGGATATGGGTTCAATAGGTTCATTCCCTCGCCGAGATATCATTCACCGTATTTCGGCCAAAGATCAGTTTTCAGGGATAATTATAGCAATACTTCCTTCAATAAAGACGCAAATGGAGGTGTTAAGCTGGGAGAGAATAGTGGTAACGGAAATGCAACCTCGCTCGGAACTGAAAATCAGAATTCCAGAAGAGGCGCTTCATCAGACGTAGGGCAAGATTTGCTAGGAAATGAAAATATGGATTTGACCGACATTCCGAGTCAAGACAGAGACGTAAAGCCGTCTTCATTCACTGAGAGCTCATTTCAAAATGAGAGTCCTCAGTTTAGCAGACAGGGCAATTCACCAATGCGCGTTACTGGATCTGTTATTGACGAGGCAAAGAAAAACGCTTGCGGAAATGATAGACATATAGCACATAAGCTATGTCTTCAAGGTCGTTATGACCCAAATGGAACTCAGCGAAAGAGTCCAGATTATGATAATTTTGACCATAGTGATTGCAAACCGGAACCAGCATTCAAAGTCGACACCTACTCGCCTCGACGTTGGGGACCCCCGGCAGAAGATGGAATGACGTTGAACCCACAATGCCCATATAGGAAAAACTCTGGTTCCCGAGATTTGACAGCTCCGCCGATAAACCATTACCGAAGTGACCCGAATGAATTCCGACCAAAACCGAGTCCAAGGTCGAGTAACAGCAGCCCCCGAAGAGAATTCGATTATCACCAGAAGATTACTTTTGACGGTACTGATTTAAAGTCCTCAATTCCTAAAAGCGTTGCAAGTGACCTTCGAACTTCATCGAGCTATTACAGTTCAAACTTGACTGATCCTGCGACTATCTCGACCAATGGCGACCACCCGACAAACAGTGCTGATAACAACTCGGCGATCACAACTAGTTTCCGAGATAGCGATGTTGCCAGTGAGCATAACTTTGCCGTACCGAGCAGAAATCCGACAAGTTTAGGTCAAAATTCTGGGAACTTTAGTCAAAGTTCAGTAAATTTGAGCCAAAACTCAGCCAGTTTTAATCAAATTGGCTCTATCGATCCCAATTCTGACACACAATATGTGACAATGTCAGCTAATCAACCGGGGAGCATAGAAGTGCCAATCACACCTAAAGGATCTGGCGAACCCAGTAAAGTAATAGTTGAGTTACGAATCTCAAACGACAGACCGTGCAGTTGTCCGACGGAGGACAGAGCCGAAAGTCCCCAACCACCTGGTCAAAGTTTGGGCGGACCTCCTAAAAGTACTTGGAAGGCTCCAAAAAGTATGAAAGAGAAAACAGAATTGTTTACTTTGAGTTCGGGAGGGGGTAGATGTCAGTCGAAAGGGACGAATGAGTGGATTCCCGCGACACATGCAATGACCGGGGTCGGACACAGGGAACCACCCTTTTTTGGGTACAGACGAGCAGTGACGCCTAAAATACCCCGCGCCAAGACGACTATGGGATAAATAGAAACAAATTTGAAATAAATAAATAGATATTTAAAAGGCAAAGTTTTTGAATTTATACCATATCCTAAATTAATTGTTTCTTTTCAACAACCAAAAAAGTCTTCTCATAATGAAAAACTCAGCTCTACACTTAATAACGCTAGGGAATCCAATATAGCCAAAAAAAGAGAGAGTATTTCTTACATAATCGAGTTGAAAAGAGGGGATAGCTATGTTAAGGTTTTAGAAGGCTTCTCAAAAGATTGCACGAAAGCTGTTTTTAGGATGTGTTATTGATTTTGACAGTAAAAAACACTAAGCGTATGCGCTTTCATTTCAAGTTGGTCCGTCTTTACAAAGAAAAAATTTTTAGACGCTCTCTGTTTTTAAGTCCGTGTGCGCCTTTTTTGCAACGCCTGCCATGCAAGCTCAAAGTGGTTAATTTTCATATAAAAAAGAAATCAAAAAGCAGAATTATTGGATTCAGTAAAAGTGTTTGCCAATGAACTGAGAAGCAGATGTACACCACTTTTCGAAATTAATGAACTCTCTAAATTCATCGCCACCGTCTGATTAAAACGATTATAAACGCAGTTGCTGTTATCAAGTTTTTTTTTTACGTTCCTGCAACTTTTATCTCGAGCCGAGATTTCTCGAGCTCATTTTGAAGCAAATGCAAGAAGCAAAAAAACGTCAACTGTCCAATTCGCCAAATTTTGATTGTTTTGCTTAAAAGTTTTAATTTGACGAGGTTACTCAAAATTTCCTCAATTTCAAAGATTGGTAACTTGATTTTTTTGGACCAAAGTTGGACTGAAGTTTTAGACCAAATTGTGGGCCAAGTATTTTGAAATCGCCGAATTTGAAACACGCAAGAAAACACAACTGACTGAACCGATAGTTCTTTTCGAGCCAGTACCCAAATCCACATGGGATCCTAACCGCTCAAACTGCCAAAAAAACAGTCCGCTGAAGTGGTCACCGGGTGTTTATTTTCAAACTGAATAAAAATATGTACCGCAAAATGACCATAAATGTTTTCTGCTAAATTTTTACTCATCATACGAGTGATTTGCATCACTCACAGTTTGACTTGGCCGTGTCCCAAACTGAACATGACCTTGACCCGAGCACGAAGTCTGTTCTTAAACACGGAATATGGACACTACTTGGGATCATGCTTGAGAAGTGAATCTAAAGATGGTATCTATGTTCTGTGCAAGGACGCAAACATGTGTGGCACTGAGGTCGATCTGGGCCCAAAACAGGACTCCAGCTCTGGAACCCGGCTGGATCCTAAATTAAGAGAGGGTCCCTTGGATTGTCTGGTCTACGTGAGAGCGGGTGGAGATAGCAAGTGTCAGTGGCTGGAGAAAGAGTTGTTGTCCAGGGACTCTAATGACTGCGTGGGCGTGACGTGTGAGGAGGGCAAATGTGTGGACAGACTGGGATACTTCGAATGTGTCACTAATGATGGTCATGATCGTTTTAACCAACAGTGTTGTAAGTCTCAGCTGCTTGTATAACTCTCAATCTTTTTTTAAAACAGAAGAGAGCCACATCACAAGGAAAACATCACGCAACTTTTCTTTGGGATAAAAACTGCGTGCTCTTTTTACCAGTTTTCTTCTTATCTTGCAGATTAACCTATAATTCAGAAATTTACCAGTTTTTCTTTTAACTTGCTAATTGATCCGGATCTGAAATAACTCCAAAAAATCAAGTGTGTACCGACACTAAAATTCGGTTTCTACCCGAAAGCCGTGCCAAATGAATTGGATTAGGGGCGGAATGGATTTATGAGGTGGCTGGAGTTGCGGACGCCTACCTACCTCAGGGATTCGACCCCCTCACCAACCAGAGTGTCCCCCCCCCCTTTGGTTTTATCTTATGGACATCCATTTTAGACCGAATTTTTCTAAAAGCGCATTTGGCGCCAAAATATCCTAATTTTGAAGAGGAGCATGGAAAATCAATATGCTCGGCCTAAAAAAAAAGTCGACAAAACTTACGACATTTTTTTGAAAATAAGCCCCCCCCCCTCCTCGAGAAAATCTTAGATCCGCCCTTGGCTGGGACAAAACAAATCTAGTTTAGAAACTATTGTTTTAATTTAAATAATGAAAAAAATACTAAATTGAAGTAAAAAAATTAGCGTTTTCAATTTACAATTTTCGGATCGATGAGTTTTGATAATCGGAGAGAAACGTTTTTTCTTGCAATGGCTCAGCAAACAGATGTCGAATCTCTGTTCTATCCATTCTTAACAGCTTTTCTGATATGTTTCTGGGTTTCAAAACACCCATTCTGGGTTTCAAAAGGAACAAAAGAAAAATCTTTGTTGCGAGGTTCTGCGACAACTATCCTCCCAGACTTGTTGAAAAATCAGCTGTAAACTCCAAGATTTTTTCGATTGTCTCGCGATGATTCTTGCCTCATAATTTCAGTTTATTTTTAATCAAATCAATGTCAATTTTTATTAAAACTATCTGCTAAGCCAAGATTTCAGTATTTTGGAATTGATTGTAATCATTTGTTGTTCTAATTTTTTCTAAAAATTAATTTTAACAGGGACAAATCATATTGATAAAATTTTTATAACTTCTCTTTGTTTTATCATATTTTGTACTTAAAAGTTCACGAGCACAGGCATTTTAAATGCCCCATTAAATTGACAAGCTATTTAAGGGTCACAAGCTTGTCGTGAAACGGAGGGGTCGGATTCCGGTAGGACATCGCCCCAGCCGAGTACGACAGCACCGAAGTCGAGTTCAACAGCTTCAACCAGATTCTCGTCAATATCCAGTGCAAAACTAGCTCCAGTTAGTTCTCACACTGAGTCTCCTTTGAAGTTCAGCTGGAGCGAATGGTCAGAATCCGATCTCAATCTGAAGGCAACTGACACTGGATGGTACGAGTTTAGATCCAGGAGTTGTGTGAACAATAACGGAGAAATTGATGAGAGCAAATGCGTAGGAGATCCAATCGAAGTGATGCTGTCTCATGAATTCCAAGAGATCAAACTGGGATTTTACAATGCGCGTGAGTGGTGTCTAAGCTCAGGATCGACTTTGTTATCATACATAAAAAGCACTGAGCAAACAGAGTTCGTCATGTCTGTAATGAATGAAATCAATGTGAATGAAATTTGGCTTAACGCGCACTGGGTAGACGGCAAACTCGTCGATCGTGACGGAGGAGTTATTCCTGTCACACCCGTCGATGATCCTGACCGAATGGCAAATCTTTGCGCTGTATTGGATCGCAAGAATTCTATCAAGTTTGAACAATGTAATCAGCAATACTTTCTGGTATGCACCAAAAACTAGCCGAGTTGTCGACAAAAAAATTGAAAATCAGACACCAGAAAGAATTCTTGTTTTGTTCATTATTGATTAGGGGTGGATTTAGGATGGAAAAGACGGAACCCCCCTCCCACCCAGAGTGATTTTGCCCCTCCGTTGACTATACCTTTTGGTACTTTTTGTGATATCCATTTTTCATCGACCAAATCTAAAATTTATCTCAAATCACCATTGGAGCCAATACAAGGGGGAGCACGCTCCAAAAAATATTTGCTTATCAAAAAAATCCTTAAAACGCTATTTTCGACCGGTTTCTCAAAAATTGACAGGTGCAGAAAAAAAACTTGGGCAAAAAATTGTTTTTAGAGACCTCGCTAATTCATTTTCGATGTCGCCCTGAGTGTTGTTTTTTTGAAAAGTGGCTCCACTCTCGAGATAATCATAGATCCTTGTCGGTGTAATTCATTCGCTGACGTACGTGAGCTCGATAGATTATCGAAATCACCCTCACAATACTTTTCTCCAATAAATTCGTCAATTGGTCGAATAAATCAAGATAACCATAACTTTGCATTATTTATGAACCTGAACTAAAAATATGTACATTCAAGATAGACAGTTGCTGTGTAAGTAGCACCGATTGATCCGACCAAATTCTTAACGAAAAATAAACGAACAAAAGACTTTTTTTCAATTCGTTTTTTCAAAATTCTGTTATTTTTTTTGTGCGAGGTGCAATGAAAGAAACTGATGAAGACCTGAAATTTAGGTATATTTGAAAGTCACAGTAAATTGAACAAATCGTGAATCGGTTTTTGTCGAAAACGGGCCGGGATTTAAACAAAACAGAAAACTTCAGCAAACTTCTTTTGAAGAAATTTGTATTGAGTTTTGAAGTTTTTCTATTCCAGAAATGGCGCTACAAAATTTCAACAAACAAGTTTAGTAACGATTCATTGCTTGTCCTACTATAAAGAGTCTTTCTTTGATCGATCGAAATTATACTACAACTCAAAAATTTCAAACCCGTTTGACTCGGAACTGGAACAATTTTTTGATTTTTTTAAGGTCGTTTGAATCAGGGTTGAAAGGGCGTTGATATGATTTATCATTCTCTCCATCTCTATGAATGTGAGTGGTAAATTTTAAGTTCAAAAACAAAATAAACATGCTCGATTGCTTTAATCGTTCGAAGTTAGATCAAAAACCAAAAAATTTTTAACGAGTTTTTTTCAATACTGAGACAAAAGAAAAAACTACAGAGAAAAACTAAAAATCACACGAATACAAAGTTCCCCCCTATTTGCAAAGATTGGAATAAAAGCAGTAAAGGTTATTGTACCAGCTTTCTGATCACAAATTAGTCAATCAAAATTCATTATAGCAAAATTAAAAAACAGTAAAAAGCAGATAAAATAGTAACAAAATACACCGTTTTTTAGAGACTTCTTTTAGGCTTCAAATTTGTCAAATAAAAAAATGTGACAACTAAACATTAAATCGATCAAACTCACTATTGCATAAAAAAACATAAAAACTCAAAAAAAATTGGTTTTAATAAACTCAATTCTGTTATCTTTTCCTTTTTTTGAAAGTTTGAGTCGTCTAGTTCCTAAAGAAGTTTCTCCCATACGTTGAAAAAAGTGAAAAATTGACTTGAATGACGTCTTGATTTTCATTCTCTAATTTTTTTCGTCAATGAACTTATTTCCTGCCAGCTTTTACCAGTGCCAATTTAAAGTTGAAATGCTTGTATGATTTTTAGGAGCACTTCTAAAAAGAAGCTTTAGAACATGAACTTGGAACGAAGTGAAGATAGACACAAGTTTTTCTTTTTTTACCAGGAGAGTCTTCAACGCAATCAAAATTGAAAAAAAAAAGATGAATAACTCAACGGAATTTGTATGGGTAAACTTTTTTTTACAAAACAATAGGGAAAAGTTGCCAATTTTCAATGCTTCAGAAAACGTTGCGGTCCTGAAATGCCTTTTTAGCGGGTAAGTTTTCTATTTTGGAAAATCGTTAACAAAATAAACAGAAAAATTACCGTTTTCGAATCTCTTTTTCAAAAAGACTGCCATTTTTAGTAGTGAAATGTTAAATCAAAATTTTTGACAGCAACAGTATTGTTGCCAAAATCAATTGTTCAAAACAAGTCCTCGAGAACATGATTACTACAAGGAAAATGCTCTGTGATGTTTTTGTTCCAATCACGAAAAACTTGAAGCACTTTTCTTTTTTGTTGGTGTTTTTAAGGCAAAATGAAGTTTAATAAAATCGTTCAAATGAGATCAGGAATATGTCAGAGCATTCCCCTTCAATGTTGATTTCAGATGCAACGCAAATTTCTAAAACTTCCTATTTGTGTAAAAAAAAATTTTCGCGATAACCCACAAAAAAGTATAAAAGAGTTTGGCCTACGGAAAATTTGTTCTTTTTCAGTTAGATAGTCTAAAATCAAGAGTTTGATCATTTTTGAGGTTTTTTAGTCGTTTGAATCAGGGTTGAAAGGGTGTTCATACGGTTCATCATTCACTCCCTCACTATGAATGCTTGTGGTAATTTTTGTTTGGAAAAAAATAAGCTTGCTTGCTTGCTTTAATCGCTCGTTGTTAGATCAAAAGTCAAAAACTTTAAACGGGTTTTCTCCTTCTGAGATTAAACAAAAAGGTACCAAAAAAACTAAAAACACACGAATACAAAATTACACCCCATTTGCAAAGATTGAAACAGAAACAAGAAACAGTAATGAATATCAAATGAGCTTTTTGATCATAAATGAGTCAATTTTGATTCAGTATAGCAAATTTATAAAACATTAAAAAGCATTTTCTAGCATTATAAGATTTGTGTAAATTCTTTGCAATGCAATTAAGATTACGTTATTTTTTATTTTGTCATATAAAAAAGGTAAAAAAACAATAAATCGATTAAACTCAGTATCACAAAAAAAAGTGAAAAACTGAAAAAAATCGGGTTTTACTGAAATCAATTCTGTTATCTTTTCTGTTTTTTAGAAGGTTTGAGACATCTTGTTCCTAAAAAATATATTCTCCCATACCTTGAAGAAAATGAAAAATTGACTTGAATGGCGAGATTGATTTTTAATCTCTAATTTTTTTTGTCAGCGAAAATATTTCCTGCTTAGCTTTAACCAGTGCTAATTTAAACTTGAAAAGCTGGTATGATTTTTAGGAACACTTCTAAGAAGAAGCTTTAGAACATGAGCTTGGAAAGAAGTGAACATAGACACAAATTTTTCTTTTTTTACCAGGAGAGTCTTCAACGCAATCAAAATTGAAAAAAAGATGAATAACTCAACGGAATTTGTATGGGTAAACTTTCTTTTACAAAACAATAGGGAAAAGTTGCCAAACTTTTATGCTTCAGAAAACGTTGCGGTCCTGAAATGCCTTTTAGCGGGTAAATTTTCTATTTTGGAAAATCGTTAACAAAATAAACCGAAAAATTACCGTTTTCGAATCTCTTTTTCAAAAAGACTGCCATTTTTAGTAGTGAAATGTTAAATCAAAATTTTTTACAGCAACAATCTTGTTGCCAAAATCAATTGTTCAAAACAAGTCCTCGAGAAAATGATTACTACAAGGAAAATGCTCTGTGATGTTTTTGTTCCAATCACGAAAATGTTTGGAATGCTCAGTGATGTTTTTGTTCCAATCACTTGAAGCACTTTTCTTTTTTCAAAACAAGTCCTCGAGAAAATGATTACTAGAAGGAAAATGCTCCGTGATGTTTTTGTTCCAATCACTTGAAGCACTTTTCTTTTTTGTTGGTGTTTTTAAGGCAAAATGAAGTTTAATAAAATTGTTCAAATGAGATCAGGAATATGTCAGAGCATTCCCCTTCAATGTTGATTTCAGATGCAATGCAAATTTCTAAAACTTTTCTATTTGTGTAAAAAAAAAATTTCGCGATAACCCACAAAAAATTATAAAAGAGTTTGGCCTACGGAAAATTTGTTCTTTTTCAGTTAGATCATCTAAAATCAAGAGTTTGATCATTTTTGAGGTTTTTTAGTCGTTTGAATCAGGGTTGAAAGGGTGTTCATACGGTTCATCATTCACACCGTCACTATGAATGCTTGTGGTAATTTTTGTTTGGAAAAAAATAAGCTTGCTTGCTTGCTTTAATCGCTCGTTGTTAGATCAAAAGTCAAAAACTTTAAACGGGTTTTCTCCTTCTGAGATTAAAGAAAAAGGTACCAAAAAAAACTAAAAACACACGAATACAAAATTACACCCCATTTGCAAAGATTGAAACAGAAACAAGAAACAGTAATGAATATCAAATGAGCTTTTTGATCATAAATGAGTCAATTTTGATTCAGTATAGCAAATTTAAAATACATTAAAAAGAATTTTCTAGCATTATAAGATTTGTGTAAATTCTTTGCAATGCAATTAAGATTACGTTAGTTTTTATTTTTTCATATAAAAAAGGTAAAAAAACAATAAATCGATTAAATTCAGTATCACAAAAAAAAGTGAAAAACTGAAAAAAATCGGGTTTTACTGAAATCAATTCTGTTATCTTTTCTGTTTTTTAGAAGGTTTGAGACATCTTGTTCCTAAAAAATGTATTCTCCCATACCTTGAAGAAAATGAAAAATTGACTTGAATGGCGAGATTGATTTTTAATCTCTAATTTTTTTTGTCAGCGAAAATATTTCCTACTTAGCTTTAACCAGTGCTAACTTAAACTTGAAAAGCTGGTATGATTATTAGGAACACTTCTAAGAAGAAGCTTTAGAACATGAGCTTGGAAAGAAGTGAACATAGACACAAATTTTTCTTTTTTTACTAGGAGAGTCTTCAACGCAACCAAGAACGTGTGAACGGAAGTTGTATGGGTAAAAATTTTTACCAAACAAAAATAAGAGTTGCTAATTTTTTTTGCTTTAGAAAACCTTGCGGTTCTTAAACGTGTTTTTAGCACGTGTATTTTCTATTTTGGAAAATCTTTTATCAAAATAAACAGAAAAGTTACCACTTTTAAACTTTGTTTTCAAGAAAGCCTGTCAACTAGAGTAGTGAATTGCTTAGTTATTATTTTTTGACAGCAACAATCT